GTGAAGCACCTACCAGGTGCCAGGTGCTAGGCCAAGTACTTCCATATGCATTATCTTAGCTTATACTCACAATGACCCTGGAAAGTTGGCACTATTATCATCCTTATCTTTCTGAGTTAGAATAGAAATAAACCTTTTTTTTTTTTTTTTTTTTTTTTTGCAAGAAAGCCAATTCAGGAAAACAAAATATTTATGGGCTCCTCATGCCTGCTCAGAGAGGCTAAGTGATTTGCTCAAGGTCACACAGCTAGCACATTAAATAGATGTCCTGGGAAGCATTAGGTGAAGGGTCAAAGGGGTGTTTCCTTTTCTCTGTGTAGACTAAAGGATTAAGGAAGGGCTGGGGTTTAGTGGGTGACTCTAAGCAGAGATCTGAAGGGTAAGGGCCTCTGGGAAGGTAGCCAGGGAGGCTGGGAGAATGAGAGGATGGGTCAGTTCTCCAATACTAAGAAAGGCAAGTCTGAGCACCAGACCCCATCTCTGCCCTCCAAGGCAGCTCTTGGGAGATTTACAGAGATGCCTCCTCCTCAATCTCCCCTTCCTCAGCCTGCCCGGACTAGCCCAAACACTTTCCACAGGATGTACAGTCCCTTTCCTCCTCCACCTGGCTGCCCTCCTGTAGACACACCCAATGAATGGTGGCTCATGGTTGGAGCCACAAAACCAACAGAAGAAATGTCACTTCTCTTTTTCTAAACACTGCACCTCTACTTACAAGACCCAAGATCAACGAGGTATTGAACAGCCACATTCACTCTCTCAGGTAGGGCTCACCACTGTCTCCTCACACTCCCTGTCCCAATACATCTCCCTCCTCCTGGATGAGGGACACAATTCCATGGACCTAAGACCAGAAACTCATTTCTTCGGGCTCAGTCCATTTTTTAAAATCTTGGCTACCTCTTAGCATCACTGCTTCCTCAAAAGCGATTGGTAGAGGCCAGACATGGTGGCTCACGCCTATAATCCCAGCATTTTGGGAAGGCCAAGGCAAGAGAATTGCTTGGCCACAGAAGTTCAAGACCAACCTGGGCAACATAGTGAGACTTTGTCTCTAAAAAATAAAAAAAATTAGCCAGGTGTTGTGATGCACGCCTGTAGTCTCAGCTACTCAGGAGGCTGAGGCAGAAGGATCAATTGAGCCCAGGAGGTTGAGACTGCGATGGGCCATGATTGTGCTACTGCACACCAGCCTGGGTGACAGCATGAGACCCTGACTCAAGAAAAAAAAAGTGATTGGTAGGATTGTATGAGTCCACTCATATGAGGTAGGTCCCTAGAATAGTCAGATTCACAGAAACAGACAGTAGAAGGGTGGTTGCCAGGGACTGGGGATGTTCTTTTTTTTTTTTTTTGAGTTGGAGCCTCACTCTGTCACTCAGACTGGAGTGCAGTGGGTGCTCCTGGCCACCGCAGCCTCAACCTGCTGGGCTCCGGCAATTCTTCTGCCTCAGCCTTCCCAGTAGCCGGAATTACAGGCCCGCGCTACCATGCCTGGCTGATTTTTTGATTTATTGTAGAGATGAGGTCTCGCTGCCCAGGCGGGCCTCGAACCTGCGGGCTCAGGCAATCCACTCACCTCAGCCTCCCAAAGGCGCGGGATTACAGGTTGAGCCACCGAGCCCAGCTTGATAGCAAGTTCTTGTTCAAGGGGCACCAAGTTTGAGTCTGGGATGATGGGAGTTCTGGTGATGGGTGGTGAGGATGGCTGCACAATCATGAGAGTGAGCCTCATGCCGCTGAACTGTGCACAGACAAATGGTGACAATGGCACATTGTTATGTCCTGTGTATTTGACTACGGTTTTTTAAAAGTGCTCAGTGGGCCCCTGGATCTGCCCCCTCAGGAGAAACCCTCCCCATCCCTGCAAGACTGGATTCACATCCTCGAAGTTTCTGGTCCTCCAGAAGGTAGCCCCTGAGCCAAATCTCAGAGAAGAAGGAATCACCTAGTGCCTCCAGCAGACTCTGTGAACACATCTCTGAGAAACCTGGGACACCAAATGAAGCCATGAGCACCCACTACACTGTCACCGTCCCTTGATCTCAAGCCCCCATGGGCCAGCCTCAAACCACCATCCAGCCCCACCCCCTTGGCCCCTCATTCACCTCTCATTCAAGATCTCTACTTTTTCATCATATGCACTTTTTTTCTTTTTGAGTCAGGGTCTCAATCTGGAGTGCAGTGGCATGATCACGGTTCACTGCAGCTTCCACTGTCTGGGCTCAGGCGATCCTTCCAACTCAGCCGACTGAGTAGCTGGGACTACAGGCTCACCACCACCACACCTGGCTAATTTTTTTTGTTTCGTTTTGTTTTTTAATTTTTTTGTAGAGACAGGGTCTGACTGTATGGCCCAGGCTGGTACGTCTGCACATTTGAGAGTCTCATCTGCACTCACTAAATCCGACTCCTCACCAACCATCCTGTCTTCAAGGCCCAACTGCTTGGCTCCTGTCACCCTTCCCCACCCCTACTCCCTCCCTAAGAAAGCCAGCTGCCCCAGCCACATCGCTAGTGGCCCCCTGACTGCCAAGGCCAATAGATGCTTTCCGTTCCTCCCATCACAACCGCTCCCTGCGGCCTTGGACACGGGTGAGCATCTGCCCCCTCCAAACCATCTCCTCCCAGTACTCTCCATCTCCCAGCCCTTCTCCGCCCCAACCCTTCCTTCTCTATCTCACTTCCAGCCTGGATCTTTGACTTTTGTTGCTTCCACAGTGCTCCTGCTTAATCTCATCTTCCCTGACGATGACTCGAACTACCTCAAAATTACTGTGAAGCCCCACTTTTCTCATGAGCACGGATCCAAATACCCGACTGTCCTCCAGGTCTCCCCACCTGTTCCGAGCTGGACGCCTCTTCTTCACTCAGACCTGTCCTTCTCTTTGACTATCACTCAGCTGGTGGCTCAACACCTACCCAGCCTCAGGCATCCTGGGCCCCCCCTCCCCTCAGAGTTCAGTCATTCTCAAAGGACGGATGTGTTCTCAATTCTTTCTCAAGGCACCCACCCTCCATCCCTGCTGCAGTCAGGACGCTCGCCCAAAGCACGCCTGGTCACAGCCTCCCAACTGCCAGGCCCACCTGGGCCTCGCCCCCAGACCCACCACCCACAGCACCCCAGGGGTCTTCTGTGAAGGCAGGTGGGCCCAGGTTCCTCCCAACACCATGGCTCCCCTCTGCCCCAGGGCTACATCCAAGCTGCTGGCCACGGGCTCCCAACTCCTCTGCCATCTGGTCCTCCTATAATTCGCTTTCCACAGCAGTCAAAATGGCACCCAGGAGGCCACATTTGACTTGGGCTCCCCTCCTGCGATTCTGCTCTCAGCCTCAGCCTTCACCCTGCTCCCCC